GCACTTTAGTTCTGACAAAATTTTACAGTACAACAACATGAATTGTTACAATTTCGAATTCCCACCTTCAAAATTATAGGCAGTCTTAACATTGGTGGTCATCTCCATTTCCTGTTCCCTTTATCAGTGCCCTCAAGGTTTTTATCCTTCTTTCTGATGTTTTAGTTCTCTAGCAGAATGTCTCTGTCTTTCAAGGACAATACATCACAGAGACACTAGTCTGAAATTCTCTCCCACTGCCAAATTTACAGTGTTGTCTCACTTCCAGTTTTGAGGCAGTGTGTTATGAAAACTAAATGTACGAAATTTGAAATAAGGCACAGCCCCTATGCAAAGCCCCTGTAATTTAAAAATTTCATCAAGATCAAAACTGATAGGTGTACTAAGTGAATTGTACATGAGATGTCTGCAAGTGAGTTTTTCAGGTTTACAGCATGGTTGTTAGACATTTATGTAATTTACAAAGTGATTCCACCCTGATAAGCCTAGTACCCACCTGGCATCATTAGTTTTTGGTAACTCATTTGAATAATTTTTTTTGCTATACTTTATCTGCATGTATTACTATCTTCAGTATTAGAGCAATGATAGCTCCTCGTGTGATCTTTAAAAAGAAAAATCCCTCTTTTTTTTTGGATTGCCAAAGTGACACATGCTCATTGTAAAAATTCCTAACTTTATAGAAATATATTTTCAATTATGTGGAAATCACCTTCTCAAATAATAAAGGGAGCTGGATCTCCAAAGTGAAGTCAAAGTTTGACAAATCAGGTGTTGGTAAGGACATTTCAGGTTGATGGATGATCAGAATGTGCAGATTCGTTGCACAATCATTTTCTGAGCAGCTTTAATGTACACTCATACCTTGTTTTATTCTGCTATTCTTTATTGAACTTCACAGATATTGTGTTCTTTACAAATTGAAGGTTTGTGACAACTCTGTGTCAAGCAAGTCTATCGGCACCATTTTCCCAATAGCATTGGCTCACTCCATTCTGTCACATTTTAGCAATCCTCACAGCATTTCAGATTTTTTCATTATCATTTTATTTGTAATTGTAGCATGTAATCAGTGATTTTTTAAAAAATTTTCTAATTACAGTTGACATCTAATATTATTTTAGTGTAAGGTGTACAACATAGTTGTTAGACGTTTATGTAATTTATGAAGTGATTTTCCCCCCGGTAAGTCTAGTACTCACCTGGCATCATACATAGTTACTGTAATACTATTGACTGTATTCCTTATGCTGTACTGTACATCCCAGTAACTATTTTATACCTACCAATTTTTACTTCTTAATCCCTCTCCCTTTTTCACACAGCCCTCCTCAGCCCTCCTGCCATCTGACAAACATCAGTTTGTTCTGAGTCTGTGTCTGTTTTGTTTGTTCATTTTTGTTCTTAAATTTCACTTATAAGTGAAATCCTATGGTATTTGTCTTTCTCTATCTGACTTATTTCACTTAGCATAATACCCTCACGGCCCATCCATGTTGTTGTAACTCCATTATTTCTAGAGTATTTTTTTTCTGTTACCTCTCCTCTTCTCTAGGGATTCTAATAAGATATTAGGTTGATTAAATTTGCCCTATAGCTCATTGATGTGGTTTTTCAGTCTTTTTTTCTTTATAGGTTGTATTTTGGACATTTTCTATTGCTGTGTTTTCAGGTTTATTTATCTTTTCTTCTGAAGTGTCTAGTCTTTTCATCTCCTTCAGTCAGTTTTTCTTTTCAGACATTTTAATTTTTATAAGTTTTATCTGTAGAAGTTATTTTTCATGTTTCATTTAATGTGCTCTTGCTTTCTTCTATATTCATGAACATATGGGATAGATTTATAATAATTTTTAATGTCCTTGTGTACTAGTTTTATCATGTCTTTTTTGGTCTGTTTTGATTTATTGATTTTTTTTATTCTCTGTGAATTATATTTTCCTGCTTTATTATATACCTGGTAACTCTTTATTGGCAGTGTGAATTTAACCTTTTGGCGGGGGGGCCTAGATATTTTTGTATTCCTTTAAATATTCTCGAGATTTGTTTTGGGATGCATTAAAATTACTTGAAATAACTATCCTTTTGGAGCTCGCTTTTACACTGTTTTAGTGTGACCAAATAGCCTTTAGTATAGGGTTAATTTTGTCCAAGTACTGTGGCAGTACTCTTTGAGTACTGGACCCAGGACCCTGTATATTGTGAGTTCTCCAATTATTCTTGGCCTGTTGTGAGCTCTGGGGATTGTTCCCCCTGCTTCTTTCCAGGGGTCTTTATCCAGCTTCAGCTTTCCTTCAGAACTAATCTGAACACTTGAGGGGAACACTGCATATCTGTGGAACTCTTTTTATGCAGCTCTATTCTTTCTAGTACTCTTACCTGTGAATTTTAGACACCTTGGCTTTCCTGAATTTCTCAAGTCTGTCCTTCCCACCTTCGATTGCTGGGCTTTTAGTCCTTCCTCCCTCTGCAGCCTGAAAACTTTTTCCAGGCAGCTACCTGAGGCTTTTATGGGACTCACCTCATTTGTTTTTGTTTTCATAGGATCACTTTTTGCATTGCCTTTGTTCAATATCTAAAAATCATTGTTCATTATTGGTGCACTTTTTTTAGTTGTATTAAGGCAGGAGAGTCAATTTACTCTCCCTGTTACTGTGTTACAGTTGGAAACAATTGTCTATATATAGAAAGCCATTGGTATTTTAAAATATTGTTCATCATGTGCCTGAATTAGGTGAGGTGTGGCCATCTGAGAAGGCTTATATTCGAGACCCTCTAAGTTGCTCTTATTATAGGGTAATTTCTAAATTACTTGGCACAGCAGATAACTGAGAAGAACACATTGCCTTGAAATGTCCTAGTGCCAGTTTGGATATTTATAGAAGATGCAATGAGTGTAGAATTTAATACAGATTAAATAATCATTTCTGAGTATGACCTAAAAAACTGCAAGTATTAGAAGCTTTTTTAAAAGATTAAAAAGGATACTAAACAGTAATATAATAATTATACTATAGAGATTATAATATATATCTACAGAACAAAAGGGGAAAATTCTCTTCCTATTATACAAATAGTCAGGTGATATTTTAATGCATTGATTCCAAAAGTATGTCATCTAAACAACTTAGATGGAAGCAAATTGATTCTTGAGGTCAAAATAATTGGATGAGTCAAAAGTGGTTGTAATTGTAATGAAAATTTAACATTTAGGGTGAATGTGAAAAGTTTTACTAAAAGCATTGTCTGATGTGGGTGGAAAAAAGTAATGTTTTAGTCATATGATTTCAATAATGTGTTAAATATTTATATGTTAATTGGGCCAAATTAAAGTAGATATTTGATTATTTCATCTATAGGCTTATATTTGAGTTGGCAAAACTATCTTTAATAGTTTTTACTGGGAAAATGGGGTGTCTAATTTTCAGGGGCATTGCAGACTGTTTTTAATTGTGCAATCGCCTATAGTTTAGATATTAGGTTATTCACTTATTTAACAAATATTTTTAAATAACAAATAAATACTTGTTATTTATTTAGCTCTCCCGCCCCCGCAAGTTGCTGGGGATAAAAGTGGTAAATACAAGATACGTTCTCAAGTCTTGCTCTGTTGGAGTTTTGAATCCATTTTATTTAGAAACTGAAACATGAATGTTAGAAGTGGAAGGACTCCTAGAAGCCATTGCAGTTTTTAAAAAAAATTTTTTAAAGGGGAAATTGAGACCTCTCAAAAGGAAAAAACTGCTCAAAGTTGCATAGCCTTTGAGAATTTACTTTGGGAAAAAATTTGAGAATTTACTGTCAAAAATTTGAGAATTTTACTTTGAGAAAAAATTCTCAATTTACTTTGAGAATTTATTCTTGGGAGAATAATTTTTCAGACTTCATTGTTATGAGGTCTGCTAAATTTAGGAGTGCCTTCTCTCACTGGGCTAGACTTTTAAATACAATAGAAACTTCACATGAAGACATTTCAGAACAAGGAGAGAGAAACAAGCTAAAGCGTTTTACATTCCCTCACAGAAAGCAGTGCCTACCCAGTACTTAGATATTATCTACATTGTTTTCAGTAATCTTCCTAAAAGTATAATTTTTTTTTCAAAGAGTTATGTGCCTTGAGTGAGCTTTACTCTTTCACGTTGAGAGCAAATGATTCTTGGAGTGGCTGGGAAGAAGGGAATACTAAAGGATGTGTTTGCCAATGATGAAATTTACTTCTGCTCATATCCTTCTCCTGCTTGCCAAGTCTTGTAAGTTATAAGTAGGTTGGTAGGTACATAGGTAGATAGACAGGTAGATAGATAGTTACAACTACCATTTATTAATTAATGCATAACAAGCTTGACATTATTTTAAGTGCCGTGCACGTATTATTTTGTTCAACCCTTACAACAGTCCCAGCAGACTGTTCAAGGTAAAGCTCCACTGCATCTGTCTCAGGTGTATCCTGTTAGACTTGAAACAAAAGGCTATCACCTGATAGCCATCAATAATAGTAATAAAAATAATGATAATGCTTACTTATTATGGGATAGGTAGTATCTAAGTGATATACATGTATTAACTCTTTCCCATAACCCTTATAGTATAACTTGGTTTAGTACGAAAGTTGTTGATGTAGTCCATGATATTTGAATTGTTAGGATTAGGAGTTGGGTATAAGAAGCAAATGGGAACAGCTCAGTTATTTTATTTTGAGGTCATTCATAATGTCTGTAGACTCTGAGAAAACCTTGTGGACTTTGAGAAATTGTAGGTAGTACTCTTCCTTGAAACACATTTTAACAGGGGAGTGTGGCTACAAAGCTTATGAGACTGAAAGCCGTTTGCATCCTTCTGTTTCATCTCTTATCAGCCTATCTGGCTCTGTTTGCAATGCTCTTGAGGACAGTACAGTGAATTCCCAAATTAGGCTACTTCTGGGTTAAAAGCAAAGTCTTCTTGAGTTTGAAATGGTACATTGTTATAATTATCTTTTTGTGGTATTGATTTATAATTATTTTTTTGACAAGGACTTAGGCAAAATGGATTTTGTAAGGTACTTAAGTTAAAATCTGGCTTCATTGGAAAAATGTGTTTTTTTTTTAATAAAGAGAATAGATAAGTTTTAGATATAATATTTTAAATTATTGCATTTTGTTCTTCCATCACCCCTTCTCAAAAATACCACATGGAACATTCCATTCATTACTGCCTGAGAAAGTCATTACTTTGCAAGCTGCAGTTGCTGAAATGATATAGTGGAAGAAATGTTTGCTTGTATTTCTTTTTTTGTTTTTTGTTCTTTTCTTTTGTTTTGTTTTGTTTTTGGTAATTGTCTTTTGAATATCCAAACTGTAGCAAAGAAGGAGAAGCAGATTTAAATTTATATTGGGGAAACCTCTTTGTGGAGCATTTCATCAGATGACTCACTGTCAGCCTTATATCTTAAAAAGAGGGATTAATGAAATAGCATCTGAAGCAGCAGTGAACTCTTGTGGAATAAACCCTGACATCTTCCGTAGTGTTTTGTGGAATAATTTCAATTTCTTCAGATACAGATTACATAAAGAAGATTGTAGGGCACGTGACACATTCTGGTTTCTTGTATTTCAGATAGTAGAAAAATTGCTACCTCTAAGAATGGATCCCGGAGAGATGTTGTCACAGTTACAAGTTTCATCTATGGTTTTGATCTCACAACTTCATTTTAATTTTTATTTATAATTTTTGATTCAAATAGGCAACTTAGAATAATTTGCAATAAACTGCTTTATGTATAAAATACTGTAATGGTAAAGTAATGGATTGCCTGTGCATTGTAACCACAAAGGTAAGATACAGCATGCTTTTTTGTGTTTCATTGTTAGTGACAAAATGTGAGAGACCTTTTTGTTCATAATGTATTTTAAAAATAAAGTGTTACTGTTGTTATATATTTGAAAATAGATATTTGAATCCACATGACACTTAGTTAATATCCTTTAGGAGAAAGATAGTATTTTAGAATGTGTTTCAGATAGCTAAAAATAGTATAATGAATGGATATTTTCCCCCCTGAGATTTATAGGCAGCTTTTCTTCCTGTTAACAGCCAAGGTTTATAAGGCATTGATTATATTTAAATCTTCTAAATATATTCTCAGAGTTCTCTCCATTTTCTGACCCAACATGTAATGCTGATTGGAAGTATAACTAATTTTGAGAACATTTTCTGGCTTCTTCCATCGATTGCAAATACATTTTTTTAAGAAGAAAATAAGTTCTAATTGTGTTGCCTCTGAAAAGATGTTGACCTGGACTTAAAATGGTTAGACTTGTGAAAGTACTTAAAGTTACTTGTCTTAAAGCCTGTTTTGCTCACTGTTCTCAAAAGTACAGCATACTTCACTTAATCTCTTTTTTTTTTTTTTAAACTTCTGAACACCAGTTGTGTACATTGTGATTGTGTAAGATTCAAGATGCTTACATTTTAAATTTATACAATTGGTTTTCAAAATATGGAGTAATTTATGTTTTTGGTTTTTATTTCTATACACTTAGCACACATAGGGATTGTTAGTTGAAAATGTGAGATTTTTAAGTTACATTGAGTACTAATAGAATAAGTAAATTTCTAAATTGTGAAAGTAGGCTATTTCTATATCGTGAATTGTTTCTCAGAAGGGGAAAAGTGAGAAAATTGATAGAAATTAGTTTTGTTTGTTGCTCACGGAGTTCAAGCAGTAGGAGCTTTGACCACATGCAAACTTATGCATTGTCTGGTCCCATTCTGTTAGTAATGGATGTCTGCTGTGTATCTCTATTGCAATATCCTCAAAGACTGTTTAAAGGGAAATAAGCCTGGAAAACAGTCTTTTTCTATTTGAGTTGTTTTCATGGTGGTTTGTAGTTGTTTCTCCCTGTGATTTATCTTTTATTGCTTTATTCCTTTGAATTTTTATTTCTGATACCATATCAAGGTAGCAGTCTCTTCTCTCTGCCCTGTTTTTCTTGATAGGTTTTTTTAAAATTTGCATTTGACCCTTCTTAAGCAAGAGTGACTAGTTAAAAAAGTGCATAGACTCAATATGCTAAAGTTTTTACAAATTTTTATTAAGTAACTTATGTTAAACATAGAAAAAAGATGCAGGATAGAAATTAGGAAGCCTAATTTATTGTCTGTAGTTACTTTTAAAAGAGCTAAATTAAAATAGTTTCTGTTATTAGATACAAAACCCTTCGAATGTATTTATTTAACCAATAAGTAGAGCAGGAAGAGCAAAATTCTTAATTTTTTCAATTAAAGTGCTACAGTGTTTTCTACCCTTGGGTCTCTTCTCTTTTTTCTGATCTTTAAAGAGCTTTATGGTTTTATATGTGTTTTAAAAGTCTGACAATATAGTTGATGTAATTCTATCATGTTAATAATATTACTTAAACACGTTCCTGAGTGAAAATTTTTTCATCATCCGCCTCCCCTCTCTCCCACTTGTGTCGGCACTATGAGTTAGGTAGGCATGTTGCATCACTGCTACCATGGATACTCTTAAGAACAGGCATGTGGGTTGAGCTAAAGCAGTGATGATTAGTTTTCTGGGTTTTTCTCCCCATAACTATATGTTCTTCATAATGAAGACTTTTATTTTAAAACATTTGCAAATGACTAGGTTGGAGATGTGATGACTAAATCACCACTGCTACTGAAGTGCCAGATCTTGACCTTCATTTATAATAGTATTAATGCCATTTACTAATTTAAAATGATTATAAATAGCTGCACATTACTTTTCTAATTAATATGTTTTAAACACAAATGTAATGTTTACTTTGCCACTTAGTGAAAATGAAAAAAAAATACATTTTAAAAATACTGCTCTGAATTTAGATATTTTTCAAGGGAAAAGATCCTAGTGAGCATTCCTATTGTGGCAGTATTTCTGATTTTTCTTAGTTATTCATAAATAGGTTTGTGTGTATTTTAATCAGCTTGGATACAATATTTAGTTTGTGCTTTTTCACATGATGACATTTTGTGTTTGTAAATCCTTGTGTTCCTGGCTAGCTCCTTTGTACATGTATGTCTGTTGATGTGGAGTTAATATAGTGAGGGGGCCAGGCAGAGAAGTGTGGTTTTGTCAGACTTGTTATCACTATAGGAAAATTAACTTGGAGTATACAAGGTCCAACAGGAGTGATTTGGGAATATTGTTACATATGTTTTCTTTTATTACCAATAAGGCACTATGTATAAACTGCAGCTAAGGCCATTCATATTCTTTAGTATAGATTTTCTATGTTTTTCATCTCATCGCACACATAAACTACTTATTAAAATCCTGTGGTGTGTCATCAAAAATATAATTTTTTGCCAGTCTGACAAAAATATGTAAAATTTTTATTCATTTGCATCAGATGACCTTGTTTTGTTGTCTGTCATCATTTTGTTTATTTGACAATCTAAGGGAAAAGAAGTCAGTGTCCCTGACCAAAAGAGTCAGGTATTGACTCTTTTAAAAATTTTTAAAAATTCTTGCAGCACACTCATTGAAAATCGCTGGTATAGAAGTTTCATAGTTGTCCATTATCTTGTGAGAAGAGGGAGTTGCATGACCTTAGAACCAGAATTTCTTTCATTAGAATCATGTCTTTCTCCATGTTCTGTTTTACTGCTGTTAATCAAGTAGAAAAGAGATCGGTCATTTAGTATAAGTTTAGGTGGCAGGACAAAGACCTGACAAAAAAAAAATTTTTTTTCCTGTGTGTTCTTGATTAAGCTTAGGAGCAAAGGACCTTCCGTATCTTGGGAGATTCTTTTACACTTAATACAGGTTGTTACTATTTTTATTATTTCGCTTATTTGCCCAACCTTGGTGTCCATGTTAAGTGCTTGCTATTAAGGCAGTATTTGAAAGCTCGGCAGTCCTGGGTGTCTCTTATAGTTAAGAAATTGCCAATACATGTTTTAGGATTTGCAGGTGATGTTTTCATTGTTTCTGTTAACAGGTGTATTATTTTTTTTAATTCATAAGATGTTTCCTCCTTCTTTGAGATCTTCATGCCTAATAATTTCTTCCTTTTTGCAAGTCCTTACCCCCAAATCTTACTAACTCTTCAGATTCCAGCTGATATATTACTTCCTAAGGAAAGCCTTCCTTGATACCCAAGATTAAGTTTCCTGTATTTCTATAAGTATACCTTACTTTTACTTTAGCACATACAGTACATCACGTATTTGCGTGATACTTTGTTAATGTATGTTTCTCTCACTGGACTATAAAACTTGACAAAAATAAGACTTTTGTTCTCCATGGTGTTGGAGCTACCTGACCAAGTGTCTCAGTAACTACATATAGTGGATACTTAGTAAATAAGTGTTGAATGAATTATGCTTTTGCACAGATGTTCTAAACTTGTATATTAAAAAATGAAATTTTTACTTTGTAATACATATTGTCCCCTTTTGAATATTATTATATGTTGACATCCTGGAAAATTGTCGCTAAAGTTTATCTTTTTATATTTATAATGAGTTCAAAAGGATCCAGAAATTGGCTTATCTTCCCAGTGTTTTCCACCTATTCCTTAGTTTATGTTGTGGGTGGGATACATCATCATGTATTGACACTTAATTGGTTACTAGTCACTTAAATATTTGACTCATTTATTTATATAAAGTGGTTTTTTTTTTCCTGGCTTATACTTTAGGAAAGACAGATACATTTTCATTTTAGACGGCTTACTTCCAACTCCACCCTGCATAATGTTAACTAACACCTTAAGCACCAGTAGAACTTTATGCAATAATGGAAATGTTTGTCTGTGCTATCCTATCCATGAGTATGTGAAATGTGGTCAGTTTCACAGAGGAACTGAATTTTAATAATTAATTTAAATAGACTTAGATTATTAAACTGTGACAGCTATTTCTATATACCAGCAAACCCTTCACTGACTTACTCCTGAATTTTTAAAACATTTTTTGAGTGGGTAACAAATTCACATACTACTAAAAAAAAAAAAAAAAAAAAAACAACCCTCAGAATCAGAACTATCATTAAGAAGTGTATATTCCTGTTTCACTTCTATGCCTTTTCCCCCTCGTTTCATAGGACACTGTTTGTTTCTGTTCCTCTTTCCAGTGTTTAAACATTTATGAGAATTAAGAATATTTTTATTTCTTCCTTTCCTTATACAATAGGTAGTGTGTTTTTTCTTCATATTGCTGGTTTTACTTTTAATATCCTGAAGTTCTCTTCATTTTATTATGCAGAGCTTTTTCTCATTCATTTTTACAGAAATACAATATTTTGTTTTGTGGATATATCATAGTTTCTTTAATCAAACATAGCCTTCTTAAGAAGTGACCTGTAACAACAGGTTCTAATTGGAAAAAGATGAAAACAGGATCTCCGGCTGATACCGTATGTCTTGAGATATTCAAATTTTCAAAAGATACAAATGTATGTATTTTTGCTATACATACTAATCTTTTACTATAAACAGTGCTTCAATAAACAAACTGTATGTACCAGTATATCATTTAACATTTGTGCAGGTATATCTGTATGGTATGGAATTGCTGGTTTACAAAGTAAATGTATTTTTAGTTTTGGTAGCTATTGCCAGGTTTCCCTACATTGGAGTTGTGCCATTTTGTACTCTCACCAGCAATGTGTCAGTGTTCCCCTGCAACTTTGTTGACAGAATGTATTTTCAAGTTTTTATAATTTGTTGGGTGAGAAATGATGTATAATTTTAATTTGGATTTCTTATATTTAAGCAACATTTATTATATTTTATAGCTTTTTATCTGTTGGGTTGTTGGTCTTTTTCTCAATTTCTACATGGTCTT